GTGTGAGACACCCCTGTGTGTGTGTACACACACACACACACACACACACACACACACACACACACACACACACACACAGTGGTGCCTCGCTTAACCATTGCCTCGTTAAACGACAAAACCGCAATACAATGACTGCTTTGCGATCACTTTTGCGATCGCAAAACGATGTTTTAATAGGCAAAATCCGCTTTGCTACGATCGGTTCCCTGCTTCGGGAACCGATTCTACGCATTACGACGTTTTTAAAACAGCTGGCTTCAAAATGGCCGCCGGCTGTGTAAAATGGCTCCCCACTGTGTTTTTGGATGGATTCCTCGCTTTACAGGCACCGAAAATGGCCGCCCCTATGGAGGATCTTCCCTGCACAGTTTTTCAGCCCACTGGAACGCATTGAACGCTTAATGAGGATTTATCTCTACAGCGATTTCGCTGGAATGGATGATCCTCGTTAAGCGAGGCACCACTGTAGTTAACTATATATTTGGGGGGTTTTAAAAAACATATTTTTAGTATTTTCAGAGCATGGATAAATGAATCAGCAGATACTGATCCTGTGGATAAAGGGGTCCCCAACCGCAATTTATCTTTCCCAGGGGCCAGTATTTTCAGAGCATGGATAAATGAATCAATGGATAATGATCCCGTCCCCAACTGAAATTTATCTTTCCCAGGGGCTATTCCTGCCATTCTCTATGTGCCAACATAGATATCCTTGAGTCAGTCTATGGCTTCCAGCTTGCAGACCCCCACCACCACCGCCCACAATCATCAACAAGGAGAGACTTACCGAATACGTTCCTACTCTCAGCAACCTCCGGCACAGCCTCCAGGGAAAGATGTGTCTCCACTGTGTCTGGCACAGCCTGGTCTGATGCGGGGAGATCCACAGACGCTTCTTTTAACACACCTGTGATCTAAGTGGGGGGGGCATGGAAAACGATTCAAAACACAGCATGGGAAACAATGCGCTCTGCTATCCAACAGAGATCCTGCCTTCCAGCCTGCTTAAGGTCCTGGAAGCTGAACTTGGTATCTTGTTCCCCGAGAGAGAACCAGATTTCCAGTCAGAACAGTCATGTCTGGAATGGTAGGGGGTGGGTGCTTTCAAAGGCTGAGATAGATGAACTCGTGTTTAGATGGACCACCGAGCCCTTTGCCAAGACTTCTGGGAGGAAGCAATTAGACATTTCCATACTGAATTATTAGGGTGGAGGGGAATTGGCGAAAGGCAGCCATAAATGTGCACGCTACAACATAGCCATGTTCAAGTCAATGATAGAAGCCATGCTTCAATGTAACCACAAAAACAACACTTATAGCAGGTACGTGCATCTATGAAGGACAACAATTGAAAGAAGCTGCTAATTCCCTTGACTGTGTCATTCCGCCAGTGGAGGCTGGCGGTGATCATGGACAGGCTGACTCCACTGACGGTTTTTAGCCTGAACTTTTAAAGCTGCTGGGCCTATTTGAGATGTAGGGCTCAGCACACTGAAGAGCTCTTGTTACGTACAGACCAGAGATGGGCCTGCAAGTGATGAACAGCTGGTTGGCATGAGCCCTGGCTTCCCTGCTCCACCTCCTCTGGCGCGGCCTCTGAGCGGTGATCATGGACAGGCTGACTCCACTGACGGTTTTTAGCCTGAACTTTTAAAGCTGCTGGGCCTATTTGAGATGTAGGGCTCAGCACACTGAAGAGCTCTTGTTACGTACAGACCAGAGATGGGCCTGCAAGGGATGAACAGCTGGTTGGCATGAGCCCTGGCTTCCCTGCTCCACCTCCTCTGGCGCTGCCTCTGAATGGGCACCTGCTGGAGGAGGCAGGGCACGGAAGCCAGGAAGCTTGCCAACCAGCTATTCATCGTGGTTCGTGCCCATCTCTAGTTCAGACTAACACCCAGTATGGACTCACCAGCCTCTAATAGATCTGGCTCCATGCTCACGAAGGGAGGCAGGAGGTAGTGGGTCACAGAGGTGAGTTACAACAAAAGTCACACGCTGCAGTCCCCTAGCTGCCGATTCTTCAATCAAGCACCACACCCCGCTCTTTCAGAGCCCCTCCCAATATGTGGCACACATTGCAAAAAGGCACAGATCAAACTCCACCGCCTGCAAATGGAAATCCAAACTGAATGTCTGGTCTTGTCTGTTTTTCGATTTGGTGCAGGCTGAGAGTCGGGGAGGTGCACTCCCAGGTCTACTGTGGCCCCCAACTAGTGCTGGAGGTGGAATTTCATCCCTTAAGCCAGTGGTTCCCAACCTTGGGCAACCCAGATATTCTTGGACTGCAACGCCCGCAGCCTTCGCTGGGCTGGGAGTTGCAGTCCAAGAACTCCTATTGGGAGCCACTGCCTTAGGCCACCCAAACTCCTCCTCCTTGATCTGGTCTCAGAGGATGGTGACATTGCAGTTGCTGTCGGCTGAGACCGAAGTGCCCAAATTCGGTTGTAAGTACAGTGGTGCCTCGCTAGACAGTTACCCCACATGACAGTTTTTTCGCTAGACATTGACTTTTTGCGATTGCTATAGCGATTTGCAAAACAGTGATTCCTGTGGGTGAATTTCGCTGGACAATGTTTGGTCCCTTCTTTGCAAACCGATTTTGACAGCTTCCTCTGCGCTCGCAAAACAGGTGTTTTCGGGACCTAAGCTTCGCAAGAGAGCAATTTAAACAGCTGATCGGCAGTTCGCAAAGCGGCTTTCCTATGGCCAATCTTCGCTAGACAACGACGTTCTTCCCCATTGGAACGCATTAAACAGGTTGCAATGCATTCCAATGGGGAAATGCTTTTCACTAGACATTGATTCCGCTAAACAGCGATTTCAGTGGAACGGATTATCATCGTCTAGCGAGGCACCACTGTATGGTTAAAACCAACCAACCAACCAACCAACAAAAAACAGTGTATGGTTAAAACCAACCAACCAACCAACAAAAAACACTCCACAACAGTGCAAGGACACTGAAAGGAAGCCCACGTACCTGCTGTTCACCCCCTCTGGCCTTCTGCTGTCTAAGAAGGAAATCCTCAGCCAGCATCACAGCCTGAGCACAGGTCTTTGGGCCATCCTTCCGGACCCAGCTCTGCATCTCCAGAGGCAGGATGGCCAGGAACTGCTCCAGGGTCACCAGCTCCAAGATCTGCTCCTTGGTGCGCCTTTCCGGCTTCAGCCACTGACGGCAACTTTCCTGGAGCTGCCTGCAAAGCTCCCGAGGCCCGTTGGCTCCTCGGTAGCCCAGGGATCGAAAACGCTGGCGCTGCATCTCCGACCAAGTAGGCTCTCCAGCGAGAGGGTCTTCCTTTCCCTTCTCTTCGTGGGTGGCCTCCAGCTGGGTCTCTGGGTCTTGTTTGGCTTCCTCTAAGAAACTGACCAGATCTGAGGAAACCCACAACCCTTTAGGCCACTTCATGGCTTCTGCTGTTGTCTGAGTGGTCGCCTCGCGGGTTTCAGGACCGCCGCATGGCCTGGGCCCAAGGAGGGGGGCAGTTTCCCCGCTAAACTGCGGAGCCTGCAAAGTCCTCAAAAAGTCCTGCAACTGGGAATCCCAATTCATTGACGGCCCTTCCTCTGGTTCTTCCTTCACACATGGCTTTTCACGTAAAGCTCCTTGCCTAACCTCTCCCGGTTCGAGGCCCGCCATGTCCCGCTCCTCTGTTTTAATTTCTACCTCCATGCTCTCCATGGGCAGCCACTGTCTCTTGTATCCTTCCCCCAAAACCTTGTTTCCCTCTTCCTTTGTCAGCACTTTGAAGGATGCCTCAGAAAAATTTCCAGACCGTTTCAGCTTCCATGAACAAAAAAACACTCTTATAACGAGACTCTCGGACAAGAAGGCCTCAGAACTGTTCAACAAGCCAACCCAATTCTTCTTTTACTTCCTGTGGGAAAAGGAGACGCCGGATGAAAAGAAAGAAGAGGCAACCTATTGGAGGACGAACTAGGAAACCTGGGAATCTCTTAATAAAAACCACATATTAATCATGCTAGGGTCCTCCCTCCTTCTGTATTAAGCAAGCATAATCACAGAGGGAGGGAGGGAGGGAAGAGTCTTGAAAACCATTTCACCTGTATGTTGTCCCAAGATGTATGTTTGCCACCCTCGTACACCTCTCCTCCCAAGCTCTATGAAAGAACTGGACATGTTTAGCCTTGAGAATATTTGAACGGGAGTCATACAGAGGAAGAGCAGGATCTGTTCTCGGTCATCCCCGAGTTTAGGACAGATAATAATGGGCTCAGGCTACAGGAAGCAAGATTTAGGCTGAGCATCAAGGAAAACAGGGAGGGCCTCAGGAATATAAACGTCAGTAGCTCAGATGATACCACTCTGATGGCAGAAAGTGAGGAGGAACTAAAGAACCTCTTAATGAGGGTGAAAGAAGAGAGTGCAAAAAATGGTCTGAAGCTCAACATCAAAAAAACTAAGATCATGGCCACTGGTCCCATCACCTACTGGCAAATAGAAGGGGAAGATATGGAGGCAGTGACAGATTTTGCTTTCTTGGGCTCCATGATAACTGCAGGTGGAGACAGCAGCCACGAAATTAAAAGACAGAAAGCAATGACAAATCTAGACAGCATCTTAAAAAGTAGAGACATCACCTTGCCGACAAAGGTCCGCATAGTCAAAGCTATGGTTTTTCCAGTAGTGATGTATGGAAGTGAGAGCTGGACCATAAAGAACGCTGACCGCCGAAGAATTGATGCTTTTGAATTGTGGTGCTGGAGGAGACTCTTGAGAGTCCCCTGGACTGCAAGGACATCAAACCTATCCATTTTGGAGGAAATCAACCCTGAGTGCTCAGTGGAAGGACAGATCCTGAAGCTGAGGCTCCAGTACTTTGGCCATCTCATGAGAAGAGAAGACTCCCTGGAAAAGACCCTGATGTTAGGAAAGTGTGAAGGCAAGAGGAGAAGGGGACGACAGAGGACGAGATGGTTGGGCAGTGTAATCGAAGCTAACAACATAACTTTGACCCAACTCCAGGAGGCAGTGGAAGACAGGAGGGCCTGGCGTGCTCTGGTCCTTGGGGTCACGAAGAGTCGGACATGACTAAACGACTAAACAACAAAAAACAATCAACTGTTACTATTTAAAAGGCTGGGAGGGGGATTTTCACCAGGATGTGAATTTATTTTACAGGGACTGGAAGCTTGCCTCCTTCCGCCCAGCCATCATCCTAACTACACCCCAGCTCTGCAATGTGCTCCCCCCTGGCGCCCCATAAACGCACCACCTTTGCACCCCAGAGCCAGGTTGTTGCAAATTAAGGCAGTCTCTAGCTGGGATCCTCTGGCAACAGAGGGGGGGGGCGATGCCTAGGAATCCCCGAGGGGGCAAACGCTCCCTTTCCCCGAGACCCCCAACGTGCCCCCCTCCCCGGGAAGGTCCTTCCTCACGTGGCGCCTCCCCGGAAAGTTGCCAACCGCCCGGGTCGCTCCCGCTCGGGTAGGGCGAAACGCAAAATTCAATCTCGCGCCCACCGAGGGGGAGGGGCTATTGCTTCGCCCCAAGTTTCCTGGTTTTTTGGGGGGGGGTGTTTGAAGCTTGGGCCGTTCTGCGAGTCAAACCTCTATCGTTTTAACCCTTTAACAGCGACTGTTTCTGTTTCCTTCTCTCCCCCCTCCTCAGCCCTGGCCGCTTGTGCCTAAATGGAGGCGAGGCGCAGCTGTAATTTTCTACCGACAAATTCCTTAAACCCCACCACCACCAAAAAAAAAAAAGACGACAAAAAGGAAGCGCTGATTTGAATTAAAAAATTACATTTGCTAACTTACCTGTCTTGTTGCGAGGTGTCTCCGAGTCAGCTCGGGCCCCACGGGGATCTTCTCTCGGTGGTTCCCAAGCTTGGGTAGCCCAGGTGGTTCCTGGACTACAACTCCCAGAAGTCCTGGCCAGCAAAGCTAGTACAGAAGGCTTCCTTCCACTATTATGGAGCGTGTTGTTTTAAACTGTACTCACAAAACAGAATTTGGGCGCTTCAGATTCAGCAAGCAGCAGCTGCAATGTAATCATCTCCAATGATGTGTATTTTTGGTGGCCACTCAGACAACCACAGAAGCCATTCAAATGGCCTGGGTCGTGGTTCTTAAGACTGTAATTCCCAGAAAACCCTGACCAGTGCAGCCGATGGTGGAGGCTTCTGGGAATTGGAGTCCAAGAAATCCTTGGGTTACCCAAGGTGGGGGACCACTGCAAAAGTTGCCTCCAAAACGCCCTCTCAGTTACAGCACCTCTCCGTTCCTGCACTCCCTTCCATGGCTTCCTTAATGGAGCCAATTTATATGTCCAGAGGCTAACTTAGAAAGGGGTTATTATAATTTTTAACTAGAGATGGCCACGAACCAGTTCGTCCCAGTTCGTAAAAGTGGCAGCACAGGTGCTGCTGCACCTCTCCCCTGACTCAATCGGCCGCTCACCAGGCCCCGCGTGCTAGGCTTCCCGCACCTCCTCCACCGATCCACTTCCGCCCGCAGCTCAGGCTTCTCTGCCCTGCCCTCGTGGCTGATCTCCCAATCAGACAAAAGGGTGGGGCCAGAGAAGTCTGTTCCCTTGCTTGTGATTGGGAGATTAGCTGAGGGGGCGGGAAAAGCAAGCAAACAGGGGCCTGGGGAGTAGCTGATTGGCTGAGGAGGCGGGGAGGGGAGCTTGCTGGCTTGACGAAGTGGGAGGAACTGGTTCATGCCCATATCTAATTGCAACATAACATCTTGTGCTTTGTGTTTGAGGATGAAAGAGCCTGGCTTATATTTATCTATTTAAAATATTTTTACCATGTCTTTCACCTTCGGAAGTACTTACATCATTGAAAGACAGTATTTAAAGCTGAGAACAATGGGCATAAAGAGGCAGCTTCCATCATAAAATGACAATATTAAAGCTAAATAATAAGTTTACAAATATTTAAAGGGAACAAATACCACTCTGAGAGATAGTAAACACAAGTACTAATAAAGACCCAGTCAGCTCAGGAAAGCATAACAACCCAGCTAAAAAACACACTCATGTAGCGAGTCACTGCAGGAAATCTTGCTTGAAGGGAAAGGTCTTTGCTTACAAAAGGACAGCAAAGATGGGGCCGGCCTGGCCTCCTGTGGGAGGGATTTCCAGAGTCTGAGAGCAGCCACAGAGAAGGCCCTGTCCAGTGTCCCTACCAAATAAACCTGTGAAGGTGGTATGACTGAGGCAGGCTCATAAAGGAGACACACTCCTTGAGATAGCTTGGACCCAAACCATTTAGAGGCTTCATATAGGTGAGGACCAGCGCTTTGAATTGGGCCTAGAAAGAAATTGGCAGCCAGTGGAGCTGCTGTAATGGGTGAGAGGGAGTGGGCTATGTGATCCCTGTAACGGCCTCACTCAGCAATCGGAGTATTTTGGACCTGCTAAAGTTTCCGAACACTTTCCATCAGCAGCCCCGCATACAGCACGTTATAGGAAACCAGCCAGGAAGTAACTAGGGTGTGTGCCACAGCGGCCAGATTAGATCCCTCCAGAAACGTACGGAGGTAGCTGATGTGCTAGTTTAATTAAGCAAATGCACAACTGGCCACCGCCAAAACCTGGCAAGGAGGCTCAGAGAGGAATCCAGAGATCCCCAAACTGCTCGCCTGTGTTTTCAGAGGGTAAACATAGGCTACCAGAAAATAAATTTGACAGAATAAAATATCTTACACATGGACTTTTTTTTTTATTAAAATGGTTACTCAGAGAGCATTACCCACCTGTGAAGAGCCTGGATACCTCAGGGAGTTCTGAAGAAGCAGCCACTTCCTGAGCAAGCCATCAACACAAATTAAACCAGAGGCACGTGTATGCACATGTCCAAGGCTGTGTGCACCCTCCCCTACACATACACACACCTGGCTCTTGCATTTTCTCACGCGCCTCCATTAAGGACCTCTGCACACACAGCTTTCCATTTTCGCTCTTCAATACTGAGGTGAAAAGTGATTTCTGAAATATGGAAAGCCGGTGGGGAGATAATCTTGAGTTTTTGCCTCTTCGGTCTTGAGCTTCTCCACTAGGCATGGCGTGCTGATGGACACTCACTGACCCACATGGGGGTAATGGCTACAGTAGGATTTGGGAACGATTCTTCTCCCCACCGAGTCATGAAACTGCCTGGGCCAGTCTCTCTCTCTCTCTCCACACACTGAGCTACCTCTTAGGGTTATTGTGAGGAGAATTAAACTTGGCATTTCTGTTTAACAGCCTACAGATGCATCTGATAAAAATCTGGCTTGTGGCCTCTAGGATTATGTCAATGAACACTTGTCCCTTCTGAAGATACAGTGCAGGGGTCAGATTGAGCTTTCAAGGAGAACTTGGTTCTAAGCCACACTCAGCCAAAGGAACTCACAAATTGCCCTCAGGCTAGTTGCTCTGCCCCAGTCTGACCCACCTTGCAGGGCTGGCAAGAGCACAAAGTGGAGAGGAGAGCAACATGCATGGCTTTAACTCACAGGAAGAATAGGAATATCAGTGTAAAGTAATAACAAGGTGCATAACCATAGCCGGACACCATACTTTAAGAAGGATGCCAACAAACAAGCAAATTCAGAGGGGAACAAGGATGATCAGGGGACTGGAAATAAGCCCTCTCAGGAAATGCTGAATGAACTGGGCATGTTTAGCCTTGAGAAAAGAAGACTGAGGGGAGATATGGCAGCGCTTTTCAAATACCCCCCCAACAGCAGTCCCAAAAAGGTTGGGGACTGCTGCCCTATATTATCTGTTGCATTGCTGATGATTGCTTCTCTCTGCCTGTCTTTTCCAATGGTTCTTTTGAACCCAGACCTTGCTTGGCACTCACCTTTAAAATCCATGCAGGGCTGGAAAGCTGTTGAGGATCCTCTAATGGTATCTAATGCAAGAAAAATCCCAAAGCCAGTTTTCCAGGAGGAAATAACTTCTTCAAATCTGCCTTTTTCGAATGCCCTTGCCTCTCTGTGAAGCAGAACTCTCTTTAACCCTTTCACTGTTTCATTCTTCTTTCTGTTATAGTCATGAGGGCCAGAAAGTACATTCTGTTAAAAAAAAAGGAGCCAGGTGTGTATTTGTGGGTATACACAAGTGGTGAATGTGAAGGGCTGACTCTACCATTATACATGGTGGGGTGACTGCCTCTGGCCACAGATTTGGATGGAGGTGAAATGAATGATGGAGGCTAGAGATTATGCCCCGTAGCCTGCCACAGTTTGCTCTCCCCTAGGTCAGTGGTTCTCCACTTGGGATCTTGTAGATGTTTTGGACTTCCATTCCAAGAAATCAAAAGACCCCAAGATGCAGAGAAGCACCATCTTAAGCGACCTTAACACCCTCATGCATCTCTTTTGCTTTTCTACAGAGAATGAGCAGGAGGTTGGACTTCAGCAGGGCAGGTTGGACTCAATGGCTTTATTGGCCCCTTCCAACTCATTTATTCTATGGTTCTGGTGTGGTTGACATCTTGTATTCTTCCCAATGAAGGTTTTGATTCAAGAAAGCAAAGTTGGAGATGGTTCTCTCTCAGTGTATGTTTATATATACACATGTATGCCAGGCTGGGGATCATATGTTAGATGTCAGCTTCTAGAAACTGCAGCTAGTTTGGTCAATGATGAGGGATTATGGGAACTGTAGTCCAAAAAACTGGCAAGCTGTTTATTCTCTCCAATATATGTGCATGTAGCCTAATTTTTCCATAGAGAGATGTGTGTACATGATGATGCTTTGTTTTTTTAATTTTATTATGTATTATCAAGGTTACCAAACTCTCGGGCTTTGTCTGTCTGGGCGCGAGGGTTTGGCGGGCTGGCTTGCAAATCCGCAGGGCGTGCAGATGGGGAGACGGTGCAAAGCAGGTGAGGTGAAGGTGGGCATGGGGGAGAAAGGAAAGCAGGCCAGGCTGATAGCGGCTCCTTCTTTGAAACCCAAAGCGGCTTGCAACAGATAAAAGAGCAGATTTTAAAATCCTGTATAAATATCATACTGTATTTCTTTTTTTAAAAAATTCAGCATTTATTAAGATTAAAAATCGAGTTCAAAAACATTTTTTAAAACCTTGTAAGTGTATTTATTATTTATGTATTTTAAATACTTTAACCCACCTTTCTCCTTCAAAGGACCCAAGGAGGCTTGGTGTTGTTATCCAGAACCATCCAAATCAATATTTTAATACCTGTCAGGCCCATTCTAGCATGCTGTCCAGCAATGCCCACATCAGCAAGTAAAGATAAAACAGACTGCCGAACTTGGGTTCTGTGCCCCAAAACAAAGTGCGGAGAAACGAATCCCCCTCCATTAGAACCCATGAGAGCATCTCTTGTTGCATGGCATTAAAACCTGTCTTGGTCTAGATGCTTTGTATAGCTCGTGTACAACGTGTTTTGTCTAAAGAGTGCTAGCACATCATGTCTGTCACGTGTGATCAGCTTTAAAAAGCCATTTCTTCCTTAGTTTATATCCAGCCTTGAGCTCAGTGTGTATATTTTTCATCTTCCCCACTTTATTCTCCCAACAACTCTTGTCATTTTACATTTCTGATGTTAGGCATTTGTAACTTTTTAGTTAGATTGTACCTGTTACACTGATATGTAACTCATACTTAGGTTTCTGGTTAAAACTTGTATCTGTCATATAATACCAGTCAATATTTTTATGATTTTGTCTGTTTCTGACTGTGTTTCATCTTTTTGAATATGTGAATTATACCGCTGCCGCCAGCACCACAACAATAATAGCCCTGCGCTTCCTGTCTCTGCAATCCGCTCTCCAGAAAATGGACCTCAGTGGCGGGTGACGACCCAAAGTATTCCTCGCCCTGCTCACGACGCCGTCTTTCTGCCTGGCAGGTGTGGGGAGGGCTGACGCTCAGCTCCTGAAGGGTTAAGGTGACAGAGTCGTGGATGCTAGAGCGGCCCTTAAGAAGGGAAGGCGCCGCAGCAAAGGTTCCTTCCTGTTGGGGTCGGGGCTCTGGATGCGCTGCGCGTTGTCTGCCTGGGCGCGAGGGGCTGGCTTGCAAATCCGCAGGGCGTGCAGATGGGGAGACGGTGCAAAGCAGGTGAGGGGAAGCTGGGCATGGGGGAGAAAGGAAAGCAGGCCAGGCTGATAGTGGCTCCTTCTTTGAAACTTCATCCCTGGAGTTCTGTGCTCATGGCAGGCTCCCTGGGCTGAGGTTATAGCCATCCCCACCTCCTTGAGAACATGAAAATGACAAGCATCACCGCTATCTTGGTTTTTTTTTTTTTTCCATCATTTTGGGGCAACTCACATGCATCTTGACCCCCGATGACTAATGAGGAGCTGGACTTTTTGCATGTGCCACAGTAGACATTGGACCACCCCCTTGGTTCAGTAAAGAATATTCTTTCATGAGTTACACATTGAGTGCCACTTTGCAAAGTTTTCTTTTTTAATAGTTGAGGAACTGCAAATTTGCAAACATGTCGTTTTGCGATGCCAGGCTTAGCAAATAAAAGTAAAGCGGAATAGAGAATGAGGGTTCTGTGTCCCAAAAGAAGCTACAGGAATATGAATCACACACCATTACAATGCACAAGAATATCCTTTGTTTAATTGCATTCAGTCATGTGAGAGCTTTGTATATATAGTTCACAAGGTATATATAAAGAAGGTTAGGATATCATATTTATAAAGTTTAAATGGCTTTATAAGTTAAAGCCAGTACTTTATTTGCTCTTTTTTTATGTCCAACCTTGAATTCAACTGAGCTCAGGTGAGAATGCAAAGGAGCTTTTTAGCATAGTGGTTAAACTGCCATATTGCAGTCAGGATTCTGCTCATGACCTGAATTTTATCTCTTCAGATAACCAGCTCAATGTTGATTCAGCTTTTCATTCTTCCAAACTCGCTGGGGGGGGCAATGTGTGGCCTTCAAAATTAAATTGTGAACTACCTAGAGAGTGCTTCAAGAGCTGTGGGGCAGTATATAAGCAGCACACTTTGCCTTTGTGTTGCTTTTCCATCTTCCCCACTTTATCCTCACAGCAACTCCAACGTTTTACATGGTGACTTTGGGTATTTGTGACATTTATTTTGATCACTGTTTGATGTGATCTGTCAGCTGCCTCCAGCTATTATGTGAAAGGACGGTATGTAAACTGAATTAATAGAAATACAAATCATTTTAATTGTCTGTTATTTTCCTGTGCAGTAAAAGACGGCATGTTTGCTCAAAATCATCAGCTGTCTTTGGTTGCTGAAACGCTTTGATGCAGTGTCACGTTACATGTCTCCCTGGACAAGCCTTGGGGTATAGACAGAACTGGAAGGATAAAGCAGCAACACTGAGACATTTCTCAGGAATCAGTGCTGCAAAACAGGGGAAGAGCACAACAAGGGCCAGCTTCTCTGGGAGGAAATGGCGGAGACACAAGAAACAGGGGCCACCATCTCTCTGCAGAAGAAGGTTATGGGTCCAGAAATTAAAACAGAGGAAGAGGAGGAGTCCGCAGGAGAGGGGAGGGAACCATCATGTCTTCCTAAAACCAGTGTGAAACAGGAACCAGATGAAGGACCGTCTGGGAACTGGGATGCCCAGTTGCGAGAGTTTGTGATGATGCTGCAGGCTCATCATTCGAGAGGGGAGACTCTGCAGCCGCCTGAATTGAGGCCACGAGATGATGTGCAGGCGGTTGGAGCACCTTTTCAGAGAGTGACAGAGAGCCTCAGGGGGGTGCCCAGAGAACTGGGCCTTTCCCAGATCCAAGCACATCGTGTGGGAGAGAACCAGAAGGAGAAAAAGACCTTGCTGGATGCCAACCCCAGGGCTCAGAGGCAGGAAGGCACTCTCACGGGAGATGATGTCGGGGCAGAGATGCGTCGTTGGCATTTCCGGACACTGTGCTACCAAGATGCCAAGGGCCCTCGGGAGCTTTGCGGGCAACTCCTGGACCTTTGCCATCAATGGCTGAAGCCAGAAAGGCACACCAAGGAGCAGATCTTGGAGCTGGTGACCCTGGAGCAGTTCCTGGCCATCCTGCCCATGGAGATGCAGAGCTGGGTGAGGGACAAGGATCCGGAGACCTGTGCTCAGGCAGTGGCTCTAGCAGAAGATTTCCTTCTGAGTCATAGAGACAGCAAAGGCTGTGGACAGCAGGTGGGTGCATTTCCAATGGGTGTAGAATATTTTTAATTTTTACTTTTCCTGTCTATTTGCTCCCCAATATAAATAAAAATCTAACTTGCCATGGCATGCTGCATACCAATGCATGTCTGTCTGCCCATATGGGCAAGGACACAGGGCAACCACAGCCAGTCCAATCTGGTGGAATGCAGCTTTCCATTCTGGCCATAATCCTACTGGTGTTCATTTAAAGTGCTATGGCTAATTGCTGCTAATTGATAAGGTGCTGGAGTACATCTCAACTGGTCAATCTGGTAGGTGACCAAGATGCACCCTGTCAGCTCATCTATTAGCTGCAGCAAGTCTGGCAAGCCATACAAACATGGACTCAACCCTAAGCTTGGATGTGGAGGTTCCAGCGGTGGTCAAGAGTGCATTTGCACATTTAAAGCTGGTGCGCCAGTTACACCCGTTCCTCGAGATGTCTGATTTGGCCTACTGCAACATGATGTACATGGGGCTGCTTTTGAAGAGTGTTCGGAAATTTTAAGCTAGTTCAAAATGCTGCAGCCAGACTGTTGACTGGTGCTTATTATTATAGGGAGCATGTAACTCTCTTCACTCCCTGCCATTCTCTTTCCGGACCCAGTTCAAAGTGCTGCTTATATTAGGTAATAAAGCTATATAGGTAGAAAGCACTATACAGCTTGTGTTCAGGCAATGTAAAGGATTGTATCTCTCCGTATGAGCCTTCTTGGCTTTTAAGATCTGAGGAGATTATTCTCTCAGTTCTATCACCTTTCCAAACTCGCTTGGTCAGGACATGAGAGAGGGTCTCCTCAATGGCAGCTCCCAGGCTTTGGAATGCTTTGCCCCAAGAAGCCAAGTTAGCCCTCCTCTCTGTGGTCCTTCAGTCTTCAGACAAAGACCTTCCTCTTCAGGCAGGTCTTGAAGCAGTAGGTTACTTCAGGAATGCTGTTTTTTTTCTGGGTTCCTCTCTGAGCCTGGAGGCCCAGTTTCAGCAGTGGCCACAAACATTTTGCACAGTTAAAACTAGTGTACCAGCTCCTCCCGTTTCTTGAGAGGTCTGATCCAGCTGTTGTGACACATGCCCTAATTACTGTAACATGCTGTACATGGTGCTGCCTTCAGAAAGTACAGTGGTGCCACGCAAGACGATGTTAATTCATTCCATTGAAATCACTGTTGTACGAAACCATCATCTTGTGAAAAGCGTTTCCCCATTGGAATGCATTGAAATCCGTTTAATGTGTTCTAGTGGGGAAGGATCGTCGTCGTCCAGCGAAGATCGGCTATAGGAAAGCCGTTTTGCGAATTGCTGATCAGCTGTTAAAATCGGTGTCTAGCGAAAAACAGGACCGAAAACACCTGTTTATCAAAGCTGTCAAAATCGTCGTCTAGTGAAAAAATCGGTCCCCAAAAAATAGTCGTGTAGCGAAGCATGGACTGAATCATTGTCCAGCAAAAATCCCCTATAGGAAACACTGTTTTGCAAAGCACTATAGCACTTGCAAAAAGTCATCGTCTAGCAAAGAAACCGTACTGCGGGATAATAGTCTAGCGAGGTACCTCTGTACTGTATTCAGAAACTTCAGAGGGTCCCAAATGCAGCCAGATTGTTAACTGGGGCTGGTTACAGGGAACATATAACAACCCTGTTACAACAGCTCCACTTGCAGCTGATCTGTTTCCAGGAACAATTCAAAGTGCTTGTTTTAACCTATAAAGCTCTAAACAGCTTGGATCCAAGCTGTCTAAGAGACCACATCTCCCTCTGTGAGCCTGTCTAGGCATTAAGATAATCAGGCGAGGCCTTTCTCTTGGTCCCATCACCCTTGAAGGCATGCTTGATGGGAACATAAAAGAAAGCTTCCTCTATTGCTGCTCCCAGACTCTGGAACTCCCTCCCACTGGAAGACAGACTGGCCCAATCTTTGTCATCTTTCCACAAGCAGGCAAAAACTTTTCAGACAGGCTTTTCCTTAGTGACTGGCAATCTGAGAGGGGCTTTGTGCTTGGTTGCTTTTAAATGTTTTTAGTATTGATTTTATTTACCATTTTTAATATGATACTTGTTTAATTGTTTAATTCTTTTTAATATATATACAGTGGTGCCCCGCATAGCGACGTTAATCCGTTCCAGATTAATCGTCACTATCTGGAAACATCGCAATGCGGGAGGGAAACCCCATAGAAACGCATTAAACTTCGTTTAATGCGTTCCTATGGGGCGAAAATTCACTGTTATGCGAAGATCCTCCGTAGCGCCGCCATTTTCGCCACCTCAGTAAGCGAGGGCAGTGCGCGAAAATGGTTGCGGCGGCCATTTTGGAACCGCCGATCAGCTGTGTGAAAATGGGGCCTTTGGGAGGACCGCGGGGGA